AAATGTTACTTTTAATAATCATATAATATTATTAGGAGTGGACATATAACCATCCATTAATATTTCAGGAATATTATTTAATATTATATAATTTTAGTAAAATATTATTAAAATGTTATATTTAATATTCTGAGAATATGCCTAAAATATTATTTAATATTAAATAATATTATGCGCTTATAGGGATATTAAGCTGTGCGCTATATTTGTATTTTTTTGGAGTAATAAACCTGTTGAAAAACTAATAAGGGCTATAGTGAAATCTCATCACTAGCAAAAAAAAGGGTAATTAGTTAGAAAGCTACCTTACTTCCAATTTTAATGAAATTAAGCTCATTCGATGCGTTTTCACTGAAAACGAAAGCCTGCTCTACTCTTGCTATTTGCGAAAAGTTGTAAACTGTGGAATCGCTCATAGGTTTACAATTAACTTTCTACGCGAAGCACGATTCCACATAGGCTTCCAAGTTTGCATCACGCAAAGCGAGATTTAATAAAAACAATTGATTTTGGTTTTACGAGGCAGGGGTAGGAGGATGGAAACCCTTAACACATATATGTATTTAGCGATTATGGAAGGTTTTGCCCCTTTCGCAATCGTTAAGTACATATATGTGCGAGGGAAGGTTCTCACCTCCCTCCTCAAAATCAATTTTTTTTTATTAATGGTCTGTTTTCTGTTCCTGCACTAGACTGCACTAGAACTCTTTTTCGCTTTCGACAAATATCAAACATATGCTTCTCTTACTTTAAGTTCCAAAAATGTATTCTAGTTTCAGCTACAAAAAACAGACCTTGTATATCTCACTTTGCGTGATGCAAACTTGGAAACCTATGTGGAACCGCGCTTCGCGTGGAAAGTTGTAAATCCATGAGCGATGAAAGGGTGATGATCTGAATATTAATAAACAAACATTAATACATCACTGTAGAAGCAAATTAGTAAAACATGCACATGTAGCCTTAGAGTATGAAAAAGTAATTATACAGTTTAGCATGCGCAGTTCAAAAATCAATAAAATTGGGCTTATTCGACGCGTTTTTGCATGAAATGAAAGAATCTGGCAGAAATAAGCATCGCTCTGTCCCGCGAACCGAAATATTAAGCGTTAAAATTGATTATTATTCTCGAATAAAGTATGCTATTAAACCTTTAGAGAGCCGGACTGGCTACTATAGTGGTCAGTAACAGAAGTCTATAACTTGAATCACACCGTAGCCCATCGAATATTCAGCTATTATTTCATTAATATAATTGAGAATGTGTTTTGAAGATTTTTATATAATACAGATTTTGCCATAAATTTCAATATTTTCACTTGATAGGTGGAAAATGATAATTAGCAAAAAATAATATAAATAAAAAATAAATACAAATAAAAAATAAATAAATTAAAAAAATAAAAATATACAAAATATAAAAAAAACGAAAAAAAAGGGAACTACATAACTTTCTACGTCCACGTCGTTAATCCTGGATTACGCTAAAGGAAAGTTTCATATGTACGTAAATGTCTATGTTATTCACAATTCGACTTATTTAGACTTATCTAGGTAAATAATACTATTTCTACATAAAATTTCGATAATCTGACTTTAGAAACGTGTTCTGCGACATCAAAAACATTTAAGAATACTAAAAACAAAAAATGAAAATTTTCCATCCCGTTGCGGATCGGACTGGCCACTATAATGACCAGCGGAAAACTCATCAACTCCTCGTAACATAAACATTCAATATATATATGAATTTGACATTAAAAAAATTTAAAATTTCAAGGCAAAAATGTCGGCCTTCTAAAGGTTAAGGAACGTTTCTTACATATTAATCAGCAAAGAAATGTTTCTGAAACGTTTTTAAACATTTTTTTCATTGCAAGAAAACATTTAAAAAATATTTAAAAAATGTTTAAATAATGGAATAGATCCTTTTTTTATTAATAAAAAAAGTTTTCTTTACATTTAAAAAACATTTTTTAACGTTAAAAAAACATTTTTTAATGTTAAAATTATTTGAACAAAATTAGAAAAAATAACGTAGAATATTTTTTTAACTTCTTTTTTTCATCAACAGTGCCTAAATCTTAGACAACTAATTTTATTAATTAATTCTAATTTTTAATTATATTTTATAATCTTTTTCACTTCCTGGCCGGGTTTTGAACTTGGGACTTCAGGATTATGAGTCTCGTATCTTATCCCTTACTTACGCCATTTATAACTATCGATGCACACAGTTCTAATTGTCCACATATGGTACATTTAACGCAATTATATTGTGTTGTTAACTTATTTTCCGTGATTATTTTGTTATTACGATCCGTTTTTTATTAATTTGAATTTTAGAAAATAATATTTTTTACATATTTATAATAGACGTTAGATAAATATTTTTTTAATTAAATAAAATATTTTAAATAAATGAATAACAAAAAACCAACATTTAATAAATTTCATATAAACGTTTAAAAAATGTTATTTTGAAAACGAATCATAAAAAGTATTATTATATAAAATTAACTACAAATAAATGTTTAAAAAAACATTTAATAAACATTAAATAAATGTTTCTTTAAACCATTATTTCAAACAAATAATTAATGTGAAATGAACATTTACTAAAAGTTAAAAAAATATTTCTTTAAACCTTTATTTCAAACGAATAGTTAATGTAAAATAAACATTTAATAAACGTTAAATAAACGTTTAAAAAGTGTTTTTTCAAATCATCATTTCAAATGAATAATTAATGCTAAATAAACAGTTAATAAACATTGGGATATAATATGGATTACTTATGATTTCACTTACAGACGTAGAGTCACATCATTAGAGTTATAACGGACATTATTGTGAAAATAAGAATTAATCGGACATTATTTAGTATTCCAGTGTTTACAACGCTACATATTTATTAAATACGCGTATTAAACAATCAATATAAAGTAAGTTATATAGTCTTATCTCTTAAATACATTTTCACGATCTTTGAATAAAGAGAGACAGAGCAATAAAGTAATTAAAGCAATGTTTCATTTCAAACTCTTTTCTGGAATATAAAACAGGTTCTATTTGTTACGTTAAAAAGTAGTTTTGAATTTTTTATGTTTTCATCCACACATACACACACGCGCGCGCGCGTGTGTGTATAACTATTATTATTATTGTCTTTTTCAGTAATTGCGGAAAAACATAATACTTCAACATTGTCATATCGGAATGTATCTCCATCCCCTGAAATTATCTCATCTATCACAAGGACATCAAAATAATATCAAAAGGAGTAGAAAATGATTATAATACTCAATTGTTTATCATGATTTCATCATTTCCTTGTCATTTTGACATCATTTTGATATCATTTTGACGTAATCGTAATTTATTTTTCGACATACATAGTTAAAAATGTTGAATTTAAATGATTTTGTTTAACAATCCGCGCGTATTACCATTAGATGATTTACCGACCGGCGTTATGTTCTCGTTAGTTAGGAAGTCTATGGTCGAGTGTGCCACCTTTTGCTTTATGTACTTCCCTTCTGTTCGCTATATCTCTCGCCCGGCATCTTTTGTGTAATGCGACTATGTATTTTATTTCACTTCGTGTGTTGTAATTAAAGCTGCAAACTACTGTGAAACGACTTGCCTCGTTACTTTATACCCAACAGGTTATGGGCCCAGATC